TGCCGGGCCAGCGGTTGTTGAAGGCGGGGCGGGAACCCTTGGGACTGGAGCCTCTGTCTCTAGGTTAGTTGTCAGACTCCCTGAAGCGGGGTTGGAGGCGGTCCTGTTTGGTGCTGAGTGCAGCCACTTGGCGGGAGAGTTCGGCGATCTCCTGCCAAAGTGCGCCGATGTCCGTGGGTTCATCAACGCTAGCAAGCGCTGGCTGGGCTTTGACCTCGGAGATGCGGTCCACACAGAGGGCTGTGGCCTCCAAGTTGCTCTTGTTCTGGCCGGCGAGGAAGCTCTGCATATTGCGGAGTAGCCGGCTGGTCCAGACGCTTCGGATGACGTTATCAGACACATCTGGTGCGAGACTTTTCAGGTACCTCAGGAACTGGGATGGCTTACGGTCGCCTATTTCCTCAACTGTGAGGAGTTGCCGGATGTGCTGCTCTGGCGATGAGGATAGCCGCCTCACAAGCTCAGTCCTCAGTAGGGTGTAGGGGCCTTGTTCGGGTGGAGAGGTGATGATATCCTCCACCTCTGTGGTGTATCGGTGGTCCAGCTGTGAGATGACATGGCAGAACTTGATCCGCTCACTGTTAATGCCGGCCAAGGTGAATTGCGCCTCGGCCTGGGCGAACCACATGGCTGGTCTCTCGGGCCAGAACGACGGAAGCCGCACGGCCATTTTGGGCACTTCTGCTGATGAACTGTCTGCGGTTTCCATGTTCAGTCCGGGTCACCAATGTCGGATGGTCAATGTTTGAAATGACAACCACTTGAAACTCTTAACACTTGTATATATATATTGGATTGATTAAACGGAATTTACAGAAAACAGGATATATATAATGTTCANAATCTAAGTAAAATAATGCAATTTTAATACATAGGAGAGTTGGAGCAGGTGATAAATTTACATGTAAGATCTCTGAAAAGTGCTGTATGTCTCTCTCAGGTGCTTCTTCATTTTGGACACATCAGCACCCCCATTTGATGTGAATTCACCTCTGTACAGCCAGCAGCTGATCAAAGATCTCGTCATGAATGTATACAGTGGTGGAAAGTGGGGGTCATACCGACACCTCCCGCTAGACAGCTGTGCCACTATCACTACACCACATGTGTGGCTCAACATCATGACCCCAGGAGATCTCTCTAGCTTCAGATGGTTGGAAGGAAATCTGGACCCTGAGTGGTGTGTATCAGCTTTTGTATCCAGAACTCTCCACACATTTATACACCTGGGAGTTGATTGTCACATCTTTCAAAATTTTCATATGGAAATCACTGATATACCTTAGCTCTTTTTTATGTTACTTAACCCCTTGAAGCCTTCTTGTCTGAGCACAGAGGAGAGCCAAAGAACTTCTGTTAAGCTGAATGCTGTCATTATCAGACCCTGTGAAGAGCTGGTGCAGGGATATCAGGATTCTCATAACTTTGTGGTAAGGATTTATTTTCAAGAATGTCTCCTTCTGGGAAGTGGTGCTGTGTAGATCTTGTGTGAACCGACATTTCGGTAGAACGTATCGCCTCCATCTTCAGGGTAGAAAAATCTGTGAGCGAGGAACCAGCATGAGCAGGTGGCTGCAGACCGGAATGTTGGTTCACACAAGATCTACACGGCACCACATCCCATAAGATGGCATTCTTCATAGTCACCGCTGCAAAAACCTCAAATCTTACAAGATTTATTTTGTTCAGAGTGTTTGACAGTTGCTTATAGTGTACTGTATTATTTAACACTTACTTTATTCATCAAGAACTATGAACTTTCACAAATTGTAATTGCTTGAATGTTACACCACTAATGGCTGCAAGATGGAAGTCAAAGAGAGAGAGAGAGTGGAAGAGAGAGAACAGACTCGAACTTTAGATATGTGAACAAGCCTGCCAACCTAACACAGAGCCTCTAAAAGCACCCAGTATTGCATACTCATCATGATTGTCATTTTGTTTTCTGTACAGAAATTTTGCTGATATGTAAATTCTTTATTGCAGCCTGTAAACAGAAGGGATGTAAAAGTAAAAAAAAATATGCTGAAAGTGCAAACCCTCAGGATTCCCTGAGTTTGTCTGCTAAGTTTGAGCTTTCTGTGTTCCTTGGTTATTGAGTTACAACAGTAGCACACAGACTCACACACATTCATATACACTGGATTCATATACTTTTAGATATAAGTAAGGAGACCTAAAGACACATTTATATAAATGACTGTTGCGAAAATATGTTTACTATCTCACAACTTCATCTTGCTTCTGTGTGACTGATGATTATATTTCAAAAGCTCTGATGAATGTGGGTCACTTGAATGTCAGGAATGAAGAAGAATTCTGTTATATTTCAGTGTTCAGGCAAAAGCAGATGAGAACTTGGTGCAGGTTTATCACTCTGCCCTTAATTTCAAAAATGTGCTTTTGGCAGCTGGGAAGGTGGCAGCAAATGTCTTCATAAAGGATCCACTGAACGAGGTTAGAACAAAAACACACTTCTGCCCAGATGCCTATAAAGACAAGTTTTATTATTTCCCCCCCTGTTCACAAACCTTTAATAACATTTATTAATCTGCTAAAGAAAGTAAATTTGACCCTGTCCTTAATTAAGCTGTGGGGGTCTTAATGTGTTTCTTGTCATTACTCCGATGACAACCCACTTCTTCGGAACAGTTTGTTGGCCCTGAAAAGGACCGTGGTTGCTGAGATGCTTGATCGGAGAGGTAGCGCGGTGCGCACTGGTAGGAGAGGCTAGTTGCGGTGAGTGGCCTGGCCGCAGTGCGGCTGTGGCTGGAGGTTGCTTGGTTGCCGTGCGGCAGCGTGAGTTGGAGGTTGCCTGATCGCAGCGCGGTGGCTGCTGGTGAAAGGCTAGTCATTGAGCGCGGTTGTAGGAGTTATGAGGCAGTGGCTACGCCAGATGCCCAGTGGGTCGGACAGTAACACGACCACCGGCAAGTCCAGGCGCGGTGCTCCAGTGAGTCGGGTGTGAGAGAGCCGGAGGGCCAAGGCAGTCGTGCCTGGCGCAGCCTGCCAATGCATCCAAAGGCCGAGCGCTGGCGACGAAGCCTGCTGACTGATGTTGCTTGATGTGGCTAGCTCATAGACTGATGATGAACTGAATGACTCGGCGTTGGAGCTGCCCATTTTTATACACTGCTCAGTGGGTGGAGCGAAACTCAAAATTGAGGAGGAAGAATTGATTGGCTAGCGCACGTAATGATGTAGACGCGGGCTAGCAGCGAGCGCAGTATAAATGTGAACGTTTGGAGCAATTTGATTGGTTAGCGCGCATGATGGTGAAAAGTAATGTGAAGAGTGTGCGTTGCAAAAATGCGTGATAATGTGGGATGTTCCCACAAAGCATATAGCTATGAAGGTGTCTAGGGGATTGGAGGTAAAGTGTCACACATTTTTAACCTCAGCATTGGGTGGAAATGAGTGGTCAGCTTCGTGCTTTGAACATTTTATGTGTAGGAAGAGCCCTCAGCACCTACTGGTTAGGAGGCTTGATGAGCACTGCAGGGAATTCAGGACTGACTGTCATCCAACCCATAAGCAACTCACTGTACTGACTGGGTTAGCCAAGCTTCAGCGCAAAATAGTGATATTGCATCTGCGAAAAAATAGGTTGACAGACCAGAAAGCGTGTAAAGTGCTTGTTAGAGAAAGAAATAATTAAACAATAGGGCCAGTTATTTCAACAAAATTGCCAATATGTAATATTAAGATGACATTGCATCGAAACTATGTAACTAATTCCATGTAGCAAAGTCCTTCTTGAAAAGCTAATACATGTTCAGCTGTTCAAGATATTGCCTACATATGTATTATTGAACTGGAAAATTCAGTTCATTACCATGTTTACTAGATCTTGCCACTGGTACCTATTCTGAACCAAATAATCTAGTCCACATTCTTCCATTCTGTTTACCTAATATCCAAATTATGCCTACGTCTCTCAAGTTGTCTTCTCTCTATGAGCTTTCTGAATAAAGCTTTGTATGTATTTTTCAGCGCTTGTATGCATGCTACATGCCTCACCCATCTTATCCTTGTGTTGATGATTTTAATATTTAATGAAGAGTACAAATTGTGTAATGTCTCATTATTCCATTTCCTCCGCTCTGTTATTTTTGAATAAAGAGCTCTTGTGGACTTCTCAGTATAGTTCATATTTTGTGTAATGTACTTTTACAGTATGATGGATAGCTCATTCGGTATAGAGACTGGCTGCAGGCTGGGTGATGGAGGGTTCGGTGTTCAAGTCCTGGTACAGTAAAGAATTTTCTCTTCTCCACGTCATCCAGACAAGCTCCGGGGTCCACCCAACCTACTATCCAATGCATACCTGGGGCTCTTTCCCCAAGGGTAAAGTGGCTGGGGCATGAAGCTGACTACTCACCTCCAACCATTTCCAAGATATGTGGATCTATACATCCACTCCCTGATACACCTTCATGACACAGTGCTTAATTAGTTAAGCACAGAAACAACTTTACCTTTTTTTACCTTACTTTTCGGTATGTATTAAGAGATGGCAACACTGTACTGATATTTCATGTGTTCTTGTTGGGCATAGAATTATTTCTTGTGTTTTGTTTTTTTTTCATGATTATTGGATTCTAAAGGGGACTGTCAGTAGTGTATAGCACTTGGAATTAATAGGTTTTTAGACTTTGTCCATCATCCAGTACTTTAAAGAACACAATGTTCTGGAAACTGGATCTGTTTCCATCCTCAGGTGAGGGGGTGGGAGACACCTACTCTGTTGAGTCTGTTAGAAAGGGCTAACCTCAGTCACTGGCCAGCCTGTCATTATAACTATAGCTGTATGTACACCTGAGATTGAGTTATGTGAATGGGAGATAAAATGAAATTTACAGTTAAAAAGTTTGAATGTGTAAGGAATCATTTTGACATTAGGAGAGTCTTCAGAATTAATCACACACTTAGGAGTTTACTGATGAAGACCACAATGGAATGAGATCTGCAATGGATGGCACAGTGCATCTGTATCATTCCCTGTGAATATGGCTGGTACTACTTTGGTGAAACAGGCAGAATGCTAACTGTGCTGCTCTGCGAACATGGGCACAATCTCAGACGGTCTTCTAGGAAAATAAAAATTAGGCAGGGATGAAGCCAAGGTTTTGGAAATTGGAAGTAACAGCAGGTATAAGAAGTACAAGGAATCAACCCATTTGACACGTTTAATAAAACTGACAACAAACCCAGTTTGGATGTTTCTCCCACCGTATATTCCCCTTATCTGCAGTAAGGTTAACAACTCTTAGGGAAGGTTAGTATGATCTGACATATTCCTCATAAGTATCTATATGGTTCTAGTATTGGGGGTTCACTCTTTTGTTCCACAGATGGCACTAGTGGTAGGTATAGAGGATGTATCAAAACTCAACAGCAAAACTTCAGGATCGGACTCCTCATATAGAGAGAAGAAAAAAAGTATATGACAACATGGTTCCAGAAATGTTAAATTACAGAGTTATCCGACCTTTTATTAACGTTAGTGCAATCCAACACTCCCAACACTGTTACACTGAATACGTCCTCAGGGGTTGTACTTCTTGGCCATCCCCCTGTGCCTGGTGGATGTGCGAAACTCCCATGTTCGCATAGGCGACAATGGATTCCTTCAAATGTCTTTCGGTCTGGCAATCTGTGCATTGGGTAGCGTTCGTGATCAAGTGACGCACCTCTGAAGCATTATCATCCGCCAAAACATACATGTAATGCATGCTCACGAGTTCTTTGTTTGTGTACATTATGTATCACTTCACAGCAGACTGCAAACAACACTTAATAATCACAGACAACAGACGTCATACACGCCTTTCGGATACAGCCACAGCTACTTAACTGGAGAAGACAGGATATCATCTGCGCATCCTAGAGGTATTCAGGCCCACATCAAATTGTTTCGCAACATGATTACTTGTGTAACAATTGTAACTGGTGTCTTGCATTTTTATTCTGGCAAACAGGACGTTTCAGCATGCACTCCACAAATTACAGACTCAGATAACTCTGTAATTATGCATTTCCAGACCCATGTTGTCATACATTTTTTGTTCTCTCTACATGAGGAGTCCGTTCCTGAAGTTTTGCCATTGAGTTTTGATACACTCTGTATATTGTCATAACATAAAAATCTAATTATTCCTATACATTGGTGTATATGGATTTGATTGTTGATTTTGTTCATTACATTTATTTTCGACTTCCTTTTCTGCCTTAGTTTCAGACCTGTACATGCATTATCAACATTTTTATTGCACAGTTTCCTGTTATCTCCTGTTGACAAACCTTGATCTCAGATTTATATATAGCTATAGTTATTTTGTTGTAGGTCTTGTATAGATTGAGGTTAGCTTCATTTAATGGACCACAAAAAGTATGTGTTTCCTGCCTTCTCAGCAGAGGATGAAACAGGATCAGTAGTGTCTGAAACCATGTATGCTTTAGATTCCTGAAAGCAGTGATTGTTCTGTCCCTATGAGATTGGCAGTCACGGCATTAAAGTTTATGCTTACGTTTACCTGTGGGGGTAGGACAGTCTTCAAGGAATGGAGTTTTCTGGGCGTGATCACAGGGGATGGCGTGTCATGGGAATAACTTCTCGTCGAGCCCTAGCCTCTGTGCTGCAGGCAGACAGAGCAATGCTGTGGGATGTACCTGATCACTGGACACTTGAGGACGCAGCAACTGTGCCTGTGGTCTATGCAACAGTGAGTTGAAATCAATAACTTAAGATGGAGAAACTTCTACCCAGGAAACACATCCTGTCTGATTTCTGTTTTATGTTAAGAAACCCTTTTATGAAACAGATGAGCAGAGCACTGTCATTAATATTTAAAAATTTTAAGTCGCTCTAGATAGGATTTGGATTGGTAATCAGATTTATCGCACACTTACAACTTGGAATTACAAATAACTATAGCAATGCACAAATCACTAAATAACACACAAGTCTTCTCTGCTTGTTACAGCCTCCACTAGTCATTGCCAGGTTACAGTCTTCTAACAAAGGACTATTCCTCCTGGCCTTATGGCTCAAGAAACGCACTCCCTAACCAATGACTCATGACTGTCTTGTAATGACTGCAGATCTTCTTTATAAGCCTCAGCATGGACCACACAGAAAAAAATATCTTCTTGCAGTTTGCTTTGTTGTAGTGTGATGTAGCCATTGTAGCAGACTGTGTAGAAAACACTTCTTCCCTAATTTGTCTTTTGTTGCACTGTCCCTGTTGTTACAGCAACTAGCTGTCATGTGATATTTATATGGCCATTCCCTAGCAACAGCCATCTTTGCTGGTTCCACTGAGCCCACATATCACAGTATTTTTTTGTGTCTTAATGCACTGAACACTAGCTACCCAGCTCTTAATCCTTTTCTTGCTCAAGGCCATATATTTGGCTGCAGCTTTTTTCTGACACCTTTCATATTCATACAACGTTTGTCATTCTGAAGGTGGTTACTATGGAGACCTTGAAAATGGATTCAGTACATTCCTTGAAAACATACAGGAACTTCTGTCAGATTACAGATTGTAACATTGCAGAATATAGTACTGCGCATTTGTTCATATACCCTCAATATTCTGTATGATGAAAAAACCAATTGAAATTTCCGTAATAATTTAATGTTGTATAATTCTACAAAACAAGTTGTCGTAGTTGTCGTGAGAACACAAGGAGAGCTTACTGTAGGATGACATTTTTGTATATTCATGGAGAACCATCACTGACCTCTAATCCTTCAGTAAGGGGAGCATGGGAAACAACCGTAGGGACTTTGGTATTTTTTGGCATTCCAAAAATGGAATCTGCATGTTGTGAATACTGCAATAAGTTCTGATTTAATGTAGCTTTTGAAAGGTAAATGCTCATGAGTATGGTTTTAATTAAAATACACTAATATATATATATATATGAAAATTAGTATTTGAAGATTTTAATCATTCTGATTTATAGACACCAGTATATTTAGGTAGATCTACATTTTGAGTGGTGAATTCCACCCCCACCCCCTTCCCCCATTAACAGTTCTGCTACATAATTATAATTAATTCTTAACATGTAACTGAGAAACATAAGTTGTTACTCTAGAATACTTTGTAAATGTAACTGAAACGGTATCCAAATTCAGTAACGTAGTAATTAACAAGAAGTTAAGTAGCACTGTTTGTGGAAGAAGTAAATCAAGAAGAAGAATAAAATAATATCAGTGTTAACATCAATGTGATAGTGGAAGGTATTAGTATTTGTTGATATTAAAATTAATATGAAATACTTTTTCTTTGCACGTATAGATACATGTGTGGGTTTTGGAGAAAAATATTATAATTCTTTCTAAGTAAGCTTAGCTGGTGTAGTAAATTCAGATCACTTACTGTGCTTCTGAATAAAATTCCTACAGACTTTAATGATATACAATATAGAAGTTGAAGTTCATTACTTTGTTTTATCACGGACAGGCTTACTATGCTCTGGTCACTATTGGGAACTTGAAGAAGGGTGAGTCAGTGCTTATCCACTCGGGCACTGGGGGTGTTGGCCAGGCAGCTATCAACATTTGCCTACATGCAGGCTGTACAGTTTACACCACTGTTGGTACCAAGGAGAAACGGGATTTCATCAAAAGGCAGCACCNTATATATATATATATGAAAATTAGTATTTGAAGATTTTAATCATTCTGATTTATAGACACCAGTATATTTAGGTAGATCTACATTTTGAGTGGTGAATTCCACCCCCACCCCCTTCCCCCATTAACAGTTCTGCTACATAATTATAATTAATTCTTAACATGTAACTGAGAAACATAAGTTGTTACTCTAGAATACTTTGTAAATGTAACTGAAACGGTATCCAAATTCAGTAACGTAGTAATTAACAAGAAGTTAAGGAGCACTGTTTGTGGAAGAAGTAAATCAAGAAGAAGAATAAAATAATATCAGTGTTAACATCAATGTGATAGTGGAAGGTATTAGTATTTGTTGATATTAAAATTAATATGAAATACTTTTTCTTTGCACATATAGATACATGTGTGGGTTTTGGAGAAAAATATTATAATTCTTTCTAAGTAAGCTTAGCTGGTGTAGTAAATTCAGAGCACTTACTGTGCTTCTGAATAAAATTCCTACAGACTTTAATAATGTACAATATAGAAGTTGAAGTTCATTACTTTGTTTTATCACGGACAGGCTTACTATGCTCTGGTCACGATTGGGAACTTGAAGAAGGGTGAGTCAGTGCTTATCCACTCGGGCACTGGGGGTGTTGGCCAGGCAGCTATCAACATTTGCCTACATGCAGGCTGTACAGTTTACACCACTGTTGGTACCAAGGAGAAACGGGATTTCATCAAAAGGCAGCACCCACAGGTATTTGGGCAGCCCATTTCACTGATTACAGTATGACCTCATTGGTCAGGCAGAAGTCAAAAATTCATTAAACCATAACAAGAAACATATATATTCTCAGTATTTTTACATTTAATATGGTTAACTTATTCATTCCCACTTCTGACTGATGGTTAAGTATTCCCATATACAGATTATCATATTTGACTTTGGTCAGATAGCAATATCAGCAAACATTTCTCTTTCAAATGATAATTATATCACATAGTTTGTTTTTGTTTTTTTTGCTAGTGGGCTGGCACTAAGTCCCTTGTACTGCAGCCACTTCTGGCCTATTGCACCAGCCCCAGATGATAGGTGAGGGTGATTGTGGAGCAATTGGTGGAATCAAGATTGGCAAGGGAAACCGAAGTACTCGGAGAAAAACCTGCCCCAGCACCACTTTGTCCACCGCAAATCCCACTTGACCAGACCCGGGATCGAACCCAAGCTGCGATGGTGGGAAGCCAGCGACTAACCGCTTGAGCTATGGCACGGCCTTATCACATAGTTAGTTACTGTATTTGTAGATGGCAGATATATGAATATTTCCTTAGCCTTGATCATATTTTTCAGAGTTGTTTCCCTTCCTTATCCATTATTTTGATAAATATATAATTCAGCAGTTTGTTCATGTCACAAAGTGTGTTATAAACAAAGAACTCACCCTAGCAAGTAAGGAGAGACTGAGTGGTGCTCACATGATGGAAGTATTGTATAGTGAGTACTCTGAAGATGATTTGATTCCAGTTCCATTGTCCAGTCATGTGGCAATGAAAGGCCTAAATTCCATGAAATTACCATGCTTGGTGACATTTCAGACAAGCCCCACATGTAACATCTCCATGTTATTGTCAGCATCTTCCACCATTTACAGTGAACTGAATAGTGATACTCAGAACACTGATGTTATGACATTTGTGATATTATTAACCTTTAATGTATGGACTTTTAAATTGCTGGCAGCCCTCTGTGGCCGATATTTAAATCGCCCTAATTAATTAACATTGCACACTTTCAGAAAAAATCCATATTTTCCGTTCTATGCAACATAGAAATACAAATTAAAAACAACCTGAAAGACAATAAAATTTTCTACATATACACAAAAGTGCAATTTTTACAAACGAAAATTAACTGTGATTATTTTGTCATGAATTGCAAAATATAGTCTTTATTATATATGTTACGAAATTCCAAAGGACTTACCCGTTGTTTTTTCTTCAACCTTGAATCATGGTGATATTGTAAATATAATCACATTATATACAATAATATTTTGTTCAGACTGTACATGAGTTTGAACTGCGTCACTTCACGGTTTACGATACACTCTGATGCGCAGTCCACCTCACACAAAGCAACATCGCACTTTTTACAATAG